CCAGCCAGTACATGTGCAACGCTCTCAGCTACCTTCCCACATAACCTGCATAGAACTTCGCCGTCGGTGGAGGTTTGCGTCCTCTCCTTTGTGTAGAGCTTCGTAGGTAACAACTGTTCATACAATTCATACATGCCCGCGATGGTATGTGTAGGGCATGTAGCCCAACCTTTTAACCATGCAAAGCAGCTGGTTATGCTTAGGCTCTCATCTTCCCATCTGATACGGAATAACTTTCCTTGCCACTTTTTGTCTTTAGCGATCTCCAAGAACTGCTTCTCTTGAGATTGCTTCAACAGATTCCCAGCTCTTGCTGCAGTTACCACATTTCCTTCTGTTGTAACACACACGGGATTTGATTATTATTATTATTATTATTATTATTATTATTATTTTTATTATTATTATAAGTGTTCAGTTCATAAGGCCCAAGTCCTTAAACCTTAAACCCGGAGCACTTGAGGGTTTCTTTGTCATCACTGTCACTTGATGGATAGGACCTTCCGTAGAATATGTGCCGTTCCCGGTCATGTTGTCTTTTGAATTTCTCTGACAAACTTCTCTGAGCATTTCTTAATCACCCCTAACGAACCTACAACCACTGGAATTATTTCTGTCTTCATCTCCCACGTTCTGGTAATTTCGATTTCCAGATCTCTATACTTGGAAAGTTTTTCGGAAACCTTGGTGCAGGTATTTTTATCAGAGGGTATAGCCACATCATGAGAGTACATTTCTTATACCGATTGTTTTTGACGACCATGTCAGGGTGGTTTCCGTCAAGGGTACCTTCAACAACAACAACAACGAGCTTTATTTGCATGACCATACAAACACATACAGTATTGCAAAAACTATTTTTAGGAATCAAAATTACAATACAGGGCAATTATGTTACTTTGATAATAATTTGTCACGAACATCAAAACAAGCTGAAATGTATTTTATGAATTGTATATTGATAAAGTAATTAGAGGAGTTCATCAGTTCGTTGATCAAACCGTTTATAGGTAACTGGGTAATATTACCTTCCGTGCAATGCTTTCTCCTCCCATCGGGTTTGCATTTGCTAGTCAAGCCCTGATGTTTTGCACCTGTCTTGTCCAAAATACTCAATCCCAAGGGAGAAATTCTACGATCAAATCCAACAAAATTTTGTCGATTTTGATCAGCTATCTTACACAGAATTAATAATTAAATTGATGAATTCACAGAATTTTTCCGTAAATTCACATTTGTTGAAATTTGTCTCATTTTGTAATGATTTACGTAATAATTTGTTATCAAGTCATGCTGATGACACTTGATTGACCACAGTCATCATTGCATTATCATTGTTATGATTTGTTTTTTTTTTTTTATATTAAAGCTTTTGCAATACTGTAACTACATAATTATAGTCATGCAAATAAAGCTTATGTTGTTGTTGTTGTTGTTGTTGATTCTCTTTTCATACAGTGCTGCTGTTTCGTCACCTTCAGGGTTGCAGCTCTTTGAGATCTAATTATTTCAGTTACAGTTAGAGAACAAATGAAAAAATAAGGCAGCAAATAGAATGTAAAAAAATAAAAACATTTTAGGTGGCAGAAAGGTACCAGAATCACAACCGCCTTCTTCACAAGTGATATACTTCCAAAGCAAAATCGCTCTAGAAATTTGTCAACTAAAATATTATTTTGCGAATCAAATTCGATCTTTATGTATCAACGGGAAATGCTTTTTTCAGTCCTAAGATATTTGTTCTCAGACTTAAGGGTCCTTTTGTAATCAGCCGACTGATTGTTTGTAGTAATAATGCATAGAATACCAGGGACCGCGGAGGGGGAGGGGCTGGTAGGGCTATATAGCCCTACCACTTTTATTGCTGGGATTTATTTCCTAGTGCTGCAGTGAATGGTGACATGGAAAAAATTCCCGTGAAATTATTCACTAAGTGGACTTTTCCATATTGAAGAGTGGAATGTTTGCTTGTCCGAATGATTACAATCCGATGTGCGTGCAAGGATAATAAGAAGTAAGGCCCAAATGGTGCGATTTGACTTTTTCTTTGCTTTGCATCTTGGAGAGCGGTTTTATTCCCACACTGATAATCTATTTAAGGATCTGAGGGTACTAAGATGGCTGAGGAGGAGAAGAAGGAGGAGAAGGAGGAGAAGATATCATGTTTTGACTAAATCCTGTTGGCGGTGTTAAAAGTTTCCAGAACCAGAAAAGAAGCTAAATCAGGAGGTCCAAACTATCTGTTAGTGTAGGCTGCTTGCTGTAAATCCCGCTACCATCGCCGCTGGCGAGGGTTCATCCTTATCTGCACGGCGTCTGAAGACGTGGCTTCGGTCCAGGATGGGTAATGAAAGATTTAGCAACCTAGCAGTGTCGGGTCACAAGCGGAGAACAGCAGTGCCACCACAGCTGACGTCGCACAGGGGTTTGTTTCCCGTATGATCATGAGAACCGCAATAGAAACTTTCGGCCCTGCGGGCCTGGCAACTTCAAAAAGTAACAATCTTAGGAAGGTTTATTGAACATATTGGCTATACTGGATACTATAACATGTGACGACGTTTATGTTACAGCTGATCTGATTTTATATTCGTTGAGGTTGTAAATAAGATGGCGTGCAAATGCGAGATAAAAATGCAATTATTCCTCGAGCCCGAATGGGCTCTGACTCAATTGCACAAAAAAAAAAACATAAATTAAACGTAACTAGTTGGTCATAACTATCGAGACAAAACAACTTTAGCTAGCAAATCATGATTAAGCCACCACTGTTTTGGTTTCCAAGGCCGGCGCTTTTCGCTACTAGTGGGCTATAACATATAGCCTAGTAGTAGCTCAACCAATCAGAACGCAGCACTGATAATAGACCACTAGTTGGATTTTACTAAAATTGCGAAACACTGAACTAAATGTTTCTTTGTATTGGCCAGATTTTATAGCCCCACCACTTTAAAATGGTCTCCGCGGTCCCTGAATACAAGGCACTGATAAATTCCGCTTGCTGTGTCACAAGCTAAGGTTGCTGCGCTAAGGACAAAAAATGGTTGAAAAATAAATAGCGACTTGCACAGTAGCGAGGGAAGATAATCATGCAAAACTAATCTAGCTGGTATATAAGCTGTCTCAGTTACTCAGGCATTATTACTGACAGGAAAACATTAAAAAGGAGAATCCCGCGCCAAATAATGAAGAACAAAAAGCTGCAGTTTTAATTATGTCTCCGGTGGAGGAGCTTTGGCTCGTTTTTAGAACAGCGACTGGAAATCGAGGCTCGGTTTGAACCCAGGAGTCACTTCAAAATCGAGTCTCAAAAGTTTTTCAAAAGTAGGTTGAGAATGATCGTCGGGGTGATCGTAGGACCGTTGTTGACAATGACTGACGTTTCGACAACCTGTGCCGTGGTAGACATCATCAGATTCATCTTCAGAATTTACCTGAATTAGCACTGTCCCTGTTATTTTTTAACATCCCAGCACGCATGTCTGTGTCCTTACCGTTTGTTTTGAACCAAAAAAGTCATCTCATTAATATGCATGCCTGTAACCACTGCTCGGTCGGTTCCCGGGCTCAGACTTGCTGAGCGAGAGCCCCAGTTTAAATCCAGGACAAAACACTAACCCAGCCTAGTCCCCAGGTGTTTTCCGCTCGGTCATTCCTGGACTCTACCATAAGCTGTGACGTCACCGAGACTTCATGCGGACAACGGATCAAGAGAGAACGCCTAGGGACTAGGCTGACACTAACCAAGGCTCTTTAAAAAACCTGGTAAGATAATATGGCTGTGTAATGATCTTGTCTCATTTCAAATAATCGCCCTTTTTTCGTTCGTGTCCATGAGTTGCCGCCATTCATCCTTCTCTCTCCAAAAAAATAAAACCAACAATAACCCATATTCCTGTTCAAAAAAAAATGTCGGAAATGTTTCACTGATGTGAAGTCTGCCTTTCCCTCTCTTATCACACTTTATCACCTCACACATCAAACGTGTTCTTCGCAGATTGTCTACGCATCCGTGCAGCAGCCGTATCAGCCGTAAAGTTACCTGGCCAATTTTTACCTTACTGCGTGGTGCAACCCCGATTCAGCCTCCTCTGGAACCATGATTGATCACAATTTGAGAAAGACTATCTCTGTCTAAAACCTTTTACAGCCCACTTAGTGACATACAATCTCAACATGAAATGTTGTGCGCATAAACTATGAGGAGCAATGGAGAAACTTAGTTAAAGATTTTTATCTTGGTTTTCCAGTGTATCTTTTATTTCGTATGCATAATGGTTACTTTAATCCAATCTAGAAATGACCTATTATTGTTTATCTACAAAAAAAAATGAACAGGATCTCGAGTTAATTTAAGGGCTGGTCGTTTATTACCTGTGAGGTGGGGGAAGCGGCCATTTTGAGAAGTATGAGAAGGCTAAAATAAGAAGATTTTCAAACCGAACCCTTCCTGGATCTCAGCTTTTTAGAAATGACCCCTTATAAATTTTACATATCGTGAAAGTGACTCCCTCTCTTAACCCGATGAACCCGATTGCTGTGGAAATTACGAATCACTGATTTTGGCTGCAAATCATGTTGATGTTCACCTACACATAATTTACCGACAGTCGTGTTTATAAGGATCGGAGTTTCTACAGTATTCACGGCTTGTACATTCAATTTTAATTCACGCTCCTTAGATCAGTTTCCTTTCACTGCACAAAATATATCCCATCGCCTTAATATGTTTTTGACCATTGCCTGGAGAATCAACAGCTTCGTTTCCACATGAGTTGGTTTTATCAGGATCTCCTCCAGTACCAAACCCAATTCTAGAGTTACAGGACCCGCAATTGTCTCCGTTGTTACTAATGATACCGATCCTGGCTTTGGAAGTTTCCCATTTACTACAAGCAGCATTGAGTCCTTCCTTGTTACATTTGTGCTGCAAGGAGGCATCAGAACCAATCAGTGACTTCCACGTGTCACGACCCAGTGAGGTGGCGTGGTAATACCCATCAGCGATCAAAGAGTACAAGGAGTTCGCCTTCTTGTTGATGACAAAAAAACTTGACCGGCTGCTGACCGATCTTCATACCGAGGCAGATCTTGGAGAAGGATGTGTTCCAGTAGGAGGGAAGTTTGGTCTCCTGTGAGTCAAACCCAGACTTCCCTCCGTCAAGGTTAAAGGTTTCTTTGTTGCTCCAGAAAGAAGAATTGTATTCAAAAGTTTGCTGTGAGAGAAACAAGTACTTACTGATGTGTACAACATTACATTCGCGATGCCCCCTCCTTATATTCCTACCAATCCAGAGTTAAGAACGTTTTTCTATATCTTGTTACTAAATTCATAACTTAACTCGGTTTCTGTCTACTTCCTATTTTTAACCTATCACTCAGCGAATTTCGTTATACATTTTTCTTTGTGACTGGGGAGCCCAGGCTTCATAAGCGTTCTGGTTTCTTCTGTGTTCCTTGTCAACTTACAATCTCTATGTATATTCCTGTATTGTATTATATTTTGGCTAAATAAAAATGAACTAAACTGAACTGAACTGAACGCAGAATAAGAACGCTTGGCCTGTTCTATTTTGGTGATGTGAGCCTCTGCATGGGTGCCTGCAGCCGTCGATTTTGTCCCGCATTTTCCATCAAATCGTCGTTTTTCAGGCGAGTACGAAATCGTCGCATATTGAGCATTTTTTTGTGTGGTAGCGCTACTAGCAAGCTCAGCCCAACCAATGGCGATATTCGCGTTCGATGTCGTTGGAAACACCCATACAGAGGCTCTGATGTCCCTACCATCTAAGAGCCTGACACGGGCTACTTCGTACCTTGTTGCCGTCCATCTTTATGACCGGTGTCCATCCTCCATCCCCACATCCAAAATCTCCTATGTGACAGAGAACGGATATTGGCTTTGAGTCAAAGATAATTGTATTCATCTGTGTTTTCCTAGACAAAGAAGACACGTTTTGGTTAACAGCTGCAGTGAAACCTGTATTAGGAGGACACTAGAGCATTCCCTAAGGGTGTCAAAACATGCAGGTTTTCACTATTTTCATAAAAAAAAAAAAAAACAGTTTCACAACCTTGTCTGGTACTAAAGCGTTGGTGTCGTTTAAAACCAACTCGAATGAAAAAAAAAAAGGCCTTTATGAAAAATAGAAGTAACCTTCTCGTCTGGGTTCTCTTGATGACAGTCTTGATATGACTTGATCGCTGAAAAAATGATCAAATTCAGTAGTAGTCCTGCTAGTGTTATTGTCCTATATTCAAGCTAAAACAAGGGCACTTTTTTTCAGTTTTAGTTAACGCTTGTTTTGTTAACTATTTGGCAAGATGCTCCAATAAAGCCCTCGTTACAAAAGGCAGTTGAGATGTCTGGAATTTTGCCCACAAGTATGTCCGTTATAACATGTCCAGTGAGTACCTGAGGTCTGAAAGTCTCAAAATTTATTCTCGTATGGTTTGTGAACTTTTTATTTTTACTTTCAGCATGATACTTTTAGAAAGATACCTTTAATATTAAAAATTCCTTCCCAACCATTTTCTGTTTGAAAAGAAGACCTACTGTCTTCAGTTAGATGTGGGTTCATACTATTATATAAAAATACGTTTGAACATCATAGAATAATGGCCAAATAAACTTGTCTACTTTTCGCACAGATTAAACGGTATTGTCTTCTTATATAGCATTTCAAAAATCTTCCAAGTTGATACAAAGTCTGCCATCTCACCTGGTTCACAATTCTTTCCATCTCCGTAATATCCCGGATGACAAGTGCAGTTGTATCCTCCCTTGGTATTATTGCAGTAAGCATTGGCACCGCAATAGTGGGTATTTTTTGCGCATTCATCAATGTCTACAAAAACAGATCCATCAAATGGAGAAAATCGCCAAAAAATGCAAGGTCGGCTGAAAGCTTTTGCTTTAGAGCCTAATGGCCGGAACACAAGATGGCGAACCCAAAATTAAAAATGGCCACAGCCATGCATTGGACATATATACCCTTCAGGAGCCTATACTTCATGAGAAATAAAGCGTAAAATCACAAGAAAAACATGGAAGTTCCAGACTTAGCTTAGATCAGGCTTCCTAGAGGAGAAAAAGGGGCGAATAGCAGGCTGTTTACACCATTATTCGCTTTTTTTCTTCCTACTAAAGAACCTGATTCCAGGACGATCCACATTTGAGGCTAAGAAAATATTAAAAGTAAACTCTTAATGCTACATACCAGTTTCACGGAGTAGAAGGTTCATTAAATTGGCAATCTGTCAACAGTTTAACTTTCTTTGTACCACTGAAAAGTACATTTGCTAGATACAGACAAATACGTGAATGTGATTTTGCTTCAAACAGTACACATCTTTCCCTGTTAGCAGAGGCCTAGAGTTTCCCTGCATGGAATTCGGGATACCAGGTGCTAGCACAGAATACACCTCTTTCATTATTCTATATTTATTATAAGGGACAAAAAAAAACTAAAAATTTACCTAGTTCACATTTTCCCCCACTCCATTGCAGATTGCACGAGCAAGCGAAAGCTTCTGTTTTTTTTGTCGAACAAACAAGAACCTCCATTGAGGCATCCAGCCATCAGACAACCCTGCAGAAAATCACATTTTACATGGGTAAGCAAAAGTTGTTTTCCATCGACTTCCTGCAGCTTTTTGCACTAGCAAATGTTTTAGGGCAAAAACGTTCAAATTCATGTCATCCTTGCAGTGCGTACTGATCTCTCAGGATACTTTTCGAGGCGCAGTGCAAATCATATCTGTACAATATATACTTTGAACTTAGAAACCAAAATAGAATTTCCATAAATTACACATACAGACTCGACGAACTCTCCTTGTATTTTTTAATTGCACTGCACATTTTTCTTAACTGTAATTTAATAACAAGTAAACCAACTGAAGGCAAGAATACATAGCCGTCAATAACATTAAAAATTGTCCGGCGGATTGAAACTGGTAGCAAAAGGCAGTGAACATGGCTGACTCAATTACAATACAAGACATATCCCGCTTTGGATGCCATTTTTTCATAAATGCATCCTAACAAGACTCAACTTTACTGTTTTTGCAACAGAACAGATGTATATTAGTTAAAAATTTAGTTCAACGCAGTTCTTAATTACATCGCGTACGTTGTTGACAAACTTCTCTTCGACTCACCTTAAGAAACATTGAAAACGTTGTGCCCGTATTATCAGTGAGCTTGGTGTCATCATCTGCAGTTATTGAAAACTCGTGCTTGTTCAGTTCACAATTGCCTGAGGACTCTTTAAAGTTAGAAGAAGTACACAAACAATGCCTTAAACAAGCTTGACTGCATGCCATTTCATCCGTAGAATCGATTTTCTTTACAGCATAGCCATGTAAACGTTTGTTCTCTTGGGCTACTATGTAGGAAGATCTAGATTCTTCTTTGGCCATAAAACTGCTGCAAAGATGAAGCAGAATATGAGTGAGCAAATTATTTTATCTGGCCACCTCTGCAATCTCATAGCGCCTTTTTTCATCAACAGGGTGTGTGTCTGACAGGAGCGTTTTCTTAGGTAGAATTTGCAAGGAACCCTAATATAGTAATTGTTAATAATAGCACGCTAAATTTATTAATAAATTTGAGCTCGATTGACTTGTGCGTTGTCAGTGACGTGTTCTGTCAAAAGCAAAGATAGCGTAAATGATTTGATAGACGGTCACTCTCAAATAAAAGTTGTATTAGACTTTCCTAAATGCACACTGTCTAATTTCGCAGCTGAAAGGAATTAAGCTATATTCTGATGTAATGCTGCTCTTAACGTAATATTCTATAGGAAAATTCATTACCTGACGAGGGAATTCCACGTTAAATTGCACGCGAAAACCGATATCGCACGAATCGCGAAGCGATGAGTGCGATATTGGTTTTCAAGTGCAATTTAACGTGGAATTCTCGAGTCAGGTAATGAATTTTCCTTGAATCGCATAATTGAATAAAAATAAGAAGAAAAAAAAAGAAAACAGCAATAATATTGTTTGTTTTTATCCTGAGCGCGCGCTCCAGAAAGCCATTTCAAAGTCAACTGTCAGAACTGTCATTGCGTTAGCGAATAGGAAGCAAGGTCAGTCGTACACGATTGAACCTTCGACAACTTTTTTTGTACCTTGTGCTTGGTTTCACATTTGTTTTCAAACTTTTTTACATGTAAACAAGCTTCACACTAATCGTAAGGATAAATAGAGGTATTTTACTGAATTTAGAAGCCGTTTATGTAGAACGTCTTTTTTCATTAATTGGTCATTTGCTCGAGAAGGAAAATAATTTACACCTTTTACCTCTTCGGCGGCAAAACTGAAAGAAATCAAGTGTCAAGCGAAAGCACTGAAAGTTTAACATGTTTAACGTCGCGATTGACATAAGGTAAGTACCTTGAAATGTTTTAGAAATGCTGTTCAAGTTCAGCTCTGTTTTGTACTTTTCTAAGTACCACGATTCAGGACGATTGCAAGCGGCGTACTCTTTTTCGTGTTTTCAGGGGCCATGTCGTCTTTGAAGGTATTTATTTCTTCTTCTGTATATGGGACAATCGACCCCGGCACTTCCTCCGTTGTCGCTTCTCCGTTTTGCTTGGTTGAACTTTGGATTGCCATTTTCTGGGCCGTGTTCACAGGATTTTCTTGTTTTCTGGTTGTCGCGAGTGAAAGAGGTTTTATGTCTCTTCGAGAATCTGTAGTTCAGTTCAAAACAAGGAAGAACCTCCGGCTCACTTTAAAAAACGCTTTTGTTTGTTTTAACTCTTCAAAAGTGACAATGAATGGTTTTGAAAACATTTTAAAATGACATTGTAGAAAACCTTTTTTGCATGTTGTTGTGTTAGAATTTGACGATAGTTGTTACGTAGATGCGAAACAATATCGCTTAGCCTCGTTTTCAACTCGCAATTCCACACTAAATACCTCGCTTCGTTAACCAATCAGAATGCGAGATTTTACTTAATTATGCGATTCTATAAACGAAAAGTTTTCACAATTGTAGCGTTTGTTAAAAAAACAATTTTTCAAAATGTCCAGCCTTAAAAGTTACAAAATATCACTCGAACACTAAAACGTTATCATAAATACACATTACCAGATAGTTACAATTTCATGACTAAAATTCATAAATGGTTGAGGTGTCCATACAAAAAAATTGAGCAGGTGAAAATCATTGATAGTTTCAAACTGAGAGAGTATGTGTCGATTCATAAGTTGCTTATGTCAACTCTCCATGGATATCAGGATGGAATTTATTGCGGAGCGACCGTAGGGAGCGAGCAGCAACATAATCAGGATTTAAGGGAAATATATAAGGGGCGACGAATTCTCGAATTCATCACTTTTTACCACAATGTATTGCATTTAACCACACTTTACCACAATGCATTGCATTTAACCAGAGTGCATTGCGCCACGAACAACTCAAATAAAAACACGGCGAAGTTCGCATCGTTCGCTGCATAGACTCAGAGTTTTCTTTGTAGCAAATTTTCTACAGCACGGTTAGAGGTCTTACCAAATTTAAGACACGCAGGAGTCTTTCAGATGAGTACAATGGTTAACTTGGGGATTGGATTTCAAAATAACAGCGGAAATCGAGATAACAAAACATATGTTTTGTGTCCTACGTTGCAGACGAGGACGTGTATCGGCGTTTTGAAAAGCATAATTATGTTCTTTCATTCATTCATTGCCATGGAATATGCGTTTACATTGTTTTTTTACTGTTAATAGCTCGATTAATGCGGCTGGCGATCATCTTGCCGGCGGAAGTTTCATGGAAAAGGCATTAAATTAAAGACTTTTCCCAAATCTACCATGGATAATTATTATCCATGAATCTACGTAATCAGTCTCTGTGGTGTAGTGGTTAGGTGTAGTCGCGTCGAGGTGATGGTGCCGGGTTCGAGTCCTACCAAATTCTTTTTTTCCTTCTTTCTTTTTTTTTTTTCGTTTTTTGTGTTGTTGTTTTCTATAAATATATAGCTAAATAACTGTTACTTAATAAAGTGCAATAAACATCAAGAAAAGTATCGTGTTTCCAGAGAAAAGATAGTACACCGTACAATCTTTTCTATTAAATATATGGATAAACAATCTGAATTTCTTTCATTTCCTACAATTTACTGTGGAAAAACCAGAGTTCATAACCACTTGATCATTCTCTAAACAACGTTCCCACGAGTTCTTTCTATCGACTGATAGTAATTATTCTAGTACTTTCCAACATGTACATAGGACATTCAATGTCATCTTCGATTCTTTTAAGTCTCACTGCCTAACTAATGCCAGTATCAACAGAATGTGCCGCAGCATTACTATCTTTTAGATACCCTAGTTAGTATATTATATAACCACCATTTAAATACCAGGTAAGTGTTCGCGCGAAAACATGATATCTTCACATGTGAAAATATAAACATGTTATCTTCACACGTGAAATATCGCCGTTGCTATGGCTACATAATAAATCGCGCCTTTCGCAGAAAAAAATATTTAAGAGTGAAATGGTTTGGTAATTCACTGGTGTTTATATAATACATAGAACATTGCTTGGCCGCTTGAAAAAATATATTTACAGTAAGTAATCTGGAGCTAAGCCAATTAATCTGGAGCTAAGCCATCTAATTGGTATACGGAACTATTTTTACATACTGATCATTGCATTTCACTTATTATCTCTTGGTGCTGAATATATAGAGGATATTACAAGTCCGCTTGGAGATACGAAATTTCTCTTCGAGTGTTGAAATGTCCTCTATATATTCAGCAGCAGGAGATAATAAGTTAAATGCATCGATCAGTCCGTAAAAATACGTTCCGTATAACAATTAGATGGCTTAGCTCCAGATTATTTAGGTAAATATTTTTTTAAACGTTTAGAAGTTCACAACAAGAACACAAAGGGGTGTAACAATTTTGTGGTCCCCCGATGTAGACTGTCAATGGGACAAAGGGCATTTTATTTTCGGGGTCCAAGGGAATGGAATGGGCTAGCTGACAATATTAAGAACACTATAAAGATATTGATAGTTTTAAGCGGACACTTTCATACGAAATAAATTGATTTGGATGAATTTTGAATTTAATTAAACTACTGTAAATAAGTCTTCTTTTCTTAATTACCATTATAATGTAATAGTTAACATTGTGACTGAAAAGCCGCCTGTTGAAGGGAGTCTCAAGAAAGTATGTATGTGACTGGTATGTAATTAGCAAAGGAACGTTACTCAAATTAACGGATTGTCACATACGGGAAACGTCAGAATTGAAATCTCTTGAAAAGAAGTCCTAACTTAACTTAAACAATGCTGAGTATTTTTGCAAGAAATATGTCTCCCTTTGTGTTTCTAATATCAAATTTAACCTCTTGATTAATCCATACTCGGCGACATGCGTTGAAATATCACCCTTTGAAGGAAGTTCCATACTTGAAAAGAAAGGCAGAGAAGAAGGAAAATTGTATGCGCACATGCCGAAAGGTTATAGTGTTTACGTTTATAAAAAAAAATAATATTATTTTTATTTTGCTTTTTTCTTTTGCACTCTCGTCTTCGAACCCATACTTTCTAACACCAAAGAATTATATTTTGGTTAATTGTATACCCCGTTTTCTTGCCGGCAAAATTGGTTAAAAAACTGAGGAGTCTCTTAAAATCCTTGAGAAACAGAATAGCTTTATTTAAGAAATCGTAGGTCAAGTGCAGCATTTTGAAAAATTTACTGACAGCGAGTATCGTGTATAGACTCACGAAAAGACTTCAAACAGGTGAAAAGGAAAGAGCGTTTAATGTAATCTTATGCGGATAAGCTAAAACCAGTTTCACCCTTTCTAATTGACAATTATTCCTCGAGCCCGAATGGGCTCTGAGTCAATAGCCCATTCGGCCTTCGGCCTCATGGGCTATGAGGGCGAGAGCAATAATTGTTTTTAGCAAAATCCAACTAGTTGGTCAAAAGTATAGAGACAAAACAACTTTACCTAGCAAAACGCAATTCAGCCGCCATTGTTTTGGTTTTCAAAGCCGGCGCTTTTCGCTACTGGTGGGCTATAACATATAGCCTAGTAGTAGCTCAACCTATCAGAACGCAGCATTGATGACAGACCACTAGTAGGATTTTACTTAAGACAGATATTTGCGCCGCTCTTGCAAAATATAGAGTTTTTCAGCAACTAAAATCCTCCATAAAACGTAAAATTAGGATTTTTAAGTGTTTATTAAAAATGAACCATATCGTTGAATTAAATCGCTTGGGTTAACATGACGGTTTTACGTACAGTTTAAACAACGAGCAGGAGTGTATCATCAGGTTTAAAAACTCGATGCGAAGCCGAGAGTTTTTACACCTGGTAATACACTTCCACGAGTATTTTGAACGGCTTCAAAATCTCTGATATATATCAACTGATTCTTTCACTAATACGTAGATTTGGGGTTATTTTGGTCTTATAAAAACTTGGACGTACAGTTTAACCGCATCTTTATCGAATATAAAGACACTCGTTAAACATAAAATTTCTTTTGTTTTTCGCTATGAATTACTTATGAGTTTTTGAAGGTAGAAATGGTTCGAATCATTTCAGCGAAAATTTCCAGAATGAAAGACTGTGCAATATTGTGCAGCAAAAAATACAATTACCATTATTTTTAAGAATTTGGAAAACTGTTTTTTGTCTTGGAAACAACAGTATTTCTAGATGGATTCTCGTTGTCGGTGGCCTAGTTCTAATCCTCGATAACGCTTGTAAATAGCCAACTGGTTTGCCGGCCAGTTGGGATCTTTAACCCTGTTTTGTTTAATTGAATTATTAGACATTATACTTACCGTCTATTTGCTCCTTGGCCAAGCTTAAGACACTACAGTTAATTTTGGAAATCAAGGCAAAGTACAGTTAGTTATCTGCTAGCACTGGGTGGTAGATTAGCAGATAAAATTAACTAACTAATCTGTAGGTTGTGCATGGTTTCCAATGGTTAATAATTTCCTAATTGAAACTAATAAAAATAATCAAACGCGAACAGGAAACCCATTGTTTCAATTAGCCACTTTCGATTTATTAATATAAATTCAGCATGATAGCGAGTCTTATGATTGCAAGGTCTTAGGGAAGTGCGCGTGGCGCAATAGCATACCATGCCAGTTAACGACTTGATGCCTAATGCAACAATTATTCTTACTTAAAACATTGTTTTTTTGGAAACAACCAAGGAGATTTGGAAAAGCGATGAAAAAATGACGAGATGAGGTATTTTCGTAAAAAACCCTGGAAGTGGGAATGTGGGACTGCAGGATCCCCCTCCCCGCTCCCTTACAGATCTTGATTACTTTCACACTTTTTTTTCTGATTTCTACAAAAACGAAAAACAAAAGCAGTCATCATTAGGGAGCTTAAGCCTGTTAAGCAACGACGACGGCGACGGCAACGAGAAAGGCAAAAAAAGCAATAGGTTTAGATTGGCAAAACAACAACTTTGCACGTTGTTACACGACTATAACGTGAAAGTGCCTAATTTCACCTTTTGTCGAAGACGGGGACACAAGACAACAACTTTCTTTTTTTCTTTTCCTGAACTTTGATGCAGTCCTTTTAGAATTCAACTCCAAAAAACAATTTGCCACCATTTAACGAAATAAACGAGATGGAATGAGCACGAAAACGTTCGAGGCAGAGCGAATGCACCTTTTTAATTAAGAGGCGTTCTCGAGCTCGTAGCCGTGGTCTTTGCTTATGCTCCTTACTACTAAAGAGTGTTTTCACATGACGTCACGGCGGCCATATTGGTGTCCCAAAACAATGAAACGACGGCCATGTTGGTGTCCCAAACCAGTCCTGTGGGAGTTGAACTCTTTTCTTATGCAAACGCTTTCTTTTGTTCTAATAAATTTGCATAGATGCTGGCCACGTTAGTGAAAAACACTCTATACTACGTCTGCGTCGTGTATCATTATTTTTGTATACCGCTTATTACTGTTGTCAGAATCCATCTACATCTCCAAAGGTTGTGAAGTGGTGCTACAAACACGAGCCCATTATAAAGAAAGCGCCCTGTCCCTGTTCTTTTCTAAAATCTCAGTACCTCTTCCTGTTTTCTTATTATCAGCCTGTAGAACAGGTACTGGTTTTTCGCGATTTTCGTGCGAGTGGCGTGAGACACGCGCGCGTCTGGTGCTCCTCGCTCGCCCACGTCTTTCCTCCTTCGCTGTCTTGTATGCATGCATGTAACCACTTCTCGGCCTGTTAGCTCAGATTTGCTAATAATAAGCAAAATGCTGGCAAGATAATGCTGGCCGTGTATAGTGACCATGACTTAGGTTAGATGACAGCATTATTTGGCGGTGTCATTAAGCCGTTTGCCTCGTCTCATTAATTTTCACCCTCCCTCATTTATCATAATTCCTCGAATAATATCCGGGGGCGATTATTCGAGGAGGCAAGGCGATTGTTCGAGGGAGGCGATTATTCAAAATTTTGGAAGTCGTGTCCTTTTGTTTTATTATCCCATTAAATCCAAAATGATCACATCAGAAAAACTGAACATGGTCTTTTAAGTGTTCCAAATTTGGTTCCTTGATTAATTTTCAGTGTCAATATCTTCGGTATCAGAACTTAATTGAATTGTCACTGATCATTCTGCTGGATCAGACGCCACTTCAAGTTGACCGGGAGGGTATAACAGAAAGAGAAGATGGCGAGAGAGGTGGAGAGTGGGCGTTTATTCGAGGGAGGAGCCTGTCTTCAATATTTCCGTCTAAGAGGGTAATTGATTCGAGGGGTGCGATTAATCGAGGGACGGCTATTATTCGAGGAAATACGGTATTTTAAAAATTGAAGGTGAGGTTAAACAACCTACATTACTATAGGAAAAGTGTAGGGGACGTGTCTTTGTTGGTGGGAATCGCCACTGCCTCTTTTATCACTTTCAACCCATCACATCAGTCTTCCCAACGGACTATCTGTGTGTAGCAACAGTCTCAGTCCTAAAGTGCCTCCCTCAGACCGGTTGGCTGCCTTAAATCTGATTCAGTCTTTTGTGCAACCACTGGATATGATCGCAGTTTGAGAAATAAAGTTTATTATATTAGTTTATTATTATATATTTCTTCGTTTTTTAAGTAGCTTTCTTACATTGAGAAACGTTTAGATTTAAGTTCTTGTTAAAAACGTTTCTTCAATTCCACAGGTTCCAATGGCAAGGAATAGGAGAACAAATTATCCGAGCACTTCTACTTTTATACACACCAAGAACCGCTCTTTAACATTCTTGGACAAACATTACAAACATGATCCCCACTGGTTGTCTGTTCACATGCCTCGACAGAAAAAAACGTTAGGTCTAGACGTGTATAATGTTTGTCTATAACTAAACTTATTTCTACTCATCATCGTAACGATGAGGTATCGTTAAAAGGACTGTGAAGAACCAGAAGCATATAACCCGAGTCGGGCTTATATGCTTCGGGTATAACATATTCCCACTAGCCGCTCAAAGACATGTAAAGGAGCATTGTTATCACTGCACCAGTATATACCCCATTGTCTTGATGCTCAGTCTTTTTTCTTTGTGGTTATCCAAATTTCCACATGTATTCCGCCTATCATCGTAGTTCCTTCACTCCCAAACCCCAATCTGGAGTTACCTTCATGGCAATCTGTTTGATCGTTGCCGAGAATACCGATTCTTGCTTTGGAACGGCCACTCAAAGGTACACTTTGCGTTGAACCCTTCCTTTTTACAGTTCAGCTGCAATGAGGCATTAGAACCAATCAGTGACATCCACTTGTCACGACCCAGTGAGGTGCTGCGATATTGCCCATCAGCGATCAGAGAGTACAAGGAGTTCGCCTGCTTGTTAATGACAATAAAATTGGTCTGGTTGTTGATCTTCATACCGAGGCAGATCTTGGAGAAGGATGTGTTCCAGTAGGAGGGAAGTTTGGTTTCCTGTGAGTCAAACCCAGTTTTCCCTCCGTCAGGGTGAAAGGTTTCTTTGTTTCTCCAAAAGGCTGTTTCGTAATGAAATGTTTGCTGTGGTAGAAAGGAGGAAGAAATAGCAAAAATGTCCTTTAAAAAGAAAAGTTGAAATTTAAGCTTCTTTTTTCTTCTAAAGATAACATCCTTTCAGGAGAAGAAAAAAGAAAGAATGAAAGATCCATTACAATGAAAAGAATATCTGCAATGTCCTCACTTCTCCAGCTTTATAAAATGACAATTTAGCCACAGCACGCAAAATGACGTTAATGGTCACCGATAGAATAAAAAGTAAACAAATACTGCACTCTTTAATTATTGATGCGATTGAAAAATGCCGAACTGAATATAATTATCTTTAACTCTCGCTTATTCGCAAATACAGAGACCAGGCTTCCGTCTTTTGATGAAAACCTTCACATCGTCTGACAGGAAGGGCGGATGACCTCTGCTACTGACCGAGACATTCCAGAAGCTTAAAGGTGTTCTTAATACTTAAATCTTTCAGATCCAGGGACTTGGCATGTACCAACGAGAAGAAAAGTTAGAGCGCCGAAGGCGCTTCAAACTCGGAGGCTGGGATTATGCTCCCCCAGAAAATTTTACAAGTTTACGTCATTAGTATGAAATTTCTGTCGCTGAGGTGCAAACGTTCCTCCTGATGAAACGTCCCTAACGTCGATCGAGGAGCAAGGAGAAACGGCTGTATTCGCAGGCTAGGATAATTGAAAATTACCTATGACAGAGGCAAACCTGTATTTAATTATGAATAACACATTTTTTTTTCCACTCTCGTCGCCAAACTAAGGGAAAACGTACACAAATGTCTTACCTTGTTGCCGTCCATCTTCATGACCGGTGTCCATCCTCCATCTCCGCATCCAAAATTTCCAAAGTGACAGAGAACTGAAACTAGTTTGGAGTCAAGGAGGAGAGTGACCAACTGAGTCACGTTCAACCTGTACAAAATGAAATCTCATTTTAATTTTTCCAGCCCCCAACTGTCGGAGAGAGAAAAATGGAATGTACCTTAACTGGTTGTGAAAAAAAAGGTTCGCTTTTTCTTACAAAAATAAATGAATGGAATTCAGTACAGTCTCAGTCAAATCTAAATTTCTCAGGTTCCCCATTATGTTAGTACTACACGATTAATGTACTTTGGACTGATATAAAATCACCTCCAGCACAGGTTGATATTTACTTTTGCTTTATGATACCAAGCTGTGCTTCTGTTCAACTAACTTTATTAAAGTGTATTTGAATAAAGTGTTCTGTAGGAATTATATTCGGACATCGAAGATGGCTAAACAGCGTAGCAGATGTTCAGATGGAAGGGGAAAGGGGCGACCGAAAAACCGCGAAAATGGTGCGCATGATGTTTTTCTCATCTGACGTCAAAGGACCCCTATTTTACCCGCTAGCTACCTGTAAGACCTGGATTGGTTATTTTTGACAACTACTCAGAACATGTTACACAGATATTCAGTAGTCAGTTTTGCATGTTTGTTGATGCTCACGTACTTTCTCCCGCCCGTTTAATAAGGACAACTGTTAATACGGAGAAAGGACACTTTTCTGTGTGCCCAAGTCTGAAAATCTCATGTCGTCAACCGCGCTTTATGGACACTTGTAATCACTGGCTACCTATAGCTGCCAAGGCCTATTTCCTTGTCACAATCACGTACTAATTGCATACAATGAACCCTGTTCAAATAATTGCAGATTTCTGAGGGTTAACACGATTTTGTTACTAAAAAAAAGAAACTGCAAAATAGCGCGCAAGTTTGATTTTGATAAGGCAGTCTTTCTTCCCATTGGCCCTTGTATGGTCTGAGCTCATTTTAAAATGCCTGTAACAAGCCACCCCACCACTCAACCGCCAAAAGGGATGGAATGTTATACGAAAGGAGTACCTTTTCTGTCAAAAATGGTATGTGGAAAGGTAAGGACATCTTTTCTGCAAAAATGACAGGCGTAAAACGAAGGGAGTTAGACCCAGGGCTAAGCTTCCCCTTACAAAACTTTATTGAAGACCTGCCGGGAGAGTTTACGATAATTATTATATATCAGTTTGTGACTCGGGACACAGAAAAGTGTTCGTTTTCCATATTAACCAGGTTAACTTATGACAAACGAACTATTCGTTTTACACGGGTGTTCGTATTAAGCGAAATGGCGGGGGTCCACTGCATTTCATCAACAACTATTTTTTGCTAGAGGGCCTTCAGTGGATGGAGGTGTTCACAGTTTATGGTTTAAAGTATCTTAACAGTACCAATCATTTGGTTCAAAAATTCAACAGTTTTTACGAGTTAGGTCTCTAATAACCTTAAGTTTCCAGAGTGGAGAACAAAGGCTGAAATAGAGTCCATCAGCCACGATACAAATTCTAACAATTAAGCGATATCGACATTCTCTGCAACACAAATTGTATTCCGTTTTTGAGGCTTGACGACGGATTTTTTGGCTGTTTCTGTGGCTCATAAACACAGTACTGACGCTCTCTGAATGATCCCTCGGACTTTAACTGATCTATCCTCATTAATTAAATTACTATGCATCGGTTTACTTACTTTTCTGCGAGCTGATTATAAACGTCTTGGCATGACTTGGCAACTGAAAAAAAGAAGTAGATAACGTAATAATTCAATCAGTAAAAAAAAGAAATAAAACATAATTTTTTAAAGAAAATGCAAATTTTGAAAAACATGGCTGTCAAAACTCGGTTGCCATGGTAGCATCAATGTTGACGTACACGTCACTATGCCTTTAAAATGTTCCCAGATAAATTTTAGGTAAAGCCGCTAAGTTTGGTTGTCCTAACTTGAACGGGGGCCCCGGCCTGAATATCAATTACCTTCTTCGCAAAATTCTCCATAAAACCCATCTTTGCAACGGCAGTCAAACGAGTGATACTTGTAGTTCGCTACACAGGTGCCTCCGTTCTGGCAAGGTGATGACATACATGGAGTCTGAAATAATTTTAAAAAAGGTTGATGTCAAATGCTATATAATTAATTAAAGTTAATTTTGTTTTGCGTAAAAGTGTTGATTGCAGATCTAGAAGTAAGAAAAAGAGGAGAAATGACATTCGACTGAATACATTCGACTTGTTATCGTGCGGTAGTCACTTTTACGTCGATTCGTGTTCACAGGTTATTAAAAATCATAGACTGGGATATCAAAAAATATCTTACTGTAATAAACTCTATGCAAAGATTTTACCCCACCTTGATGGAAAAGTGGTGAAAACTCTCGTTCCTTTTATATTCTTTAGGATTGCTGTACTTTTCTGAGGATAACAACTCACACCGCAACTTTCCATCTGCTCCTTTGTAAGCTGCCAGGTTGAAGGACAAACAGGAAGGATTGCCGAGGCATTCAAAGGTGCAGTCAAGGCTGTCATACACTGTGAATGTTCCAACTTTAGGAACGTTTAAATAATGGTACTCTTCCTTTATAAAAACGTCTTGACGAAGGCTGTGATGATACATGGTGGTGAATTCTGAAGAATCATTAATCAAAGAAAGAATGGTTTTGAAATTTACCTTTTTAGAATGCATGGGTCGTGAATATAAGGTATCTCTTAATTCAGGGAGTTCCTGACTTTAAGAATGGCTTTTAAAATTGAACGCGTTATGTGAACTGGAATTCAAAAACCTTAGCTGAAAGTAAAGCCTAGAGAAGTAAAGCCTAGGTCAGGAGAGTATAAGAAAAATGGGAATTATCATCTTCATGAAATTAGAGATTTTTCTGGTAGTCCACTGCTGTTATTTATTTATGACTTTTAATGTCGTGCCATAACTGAGACCATTATGGCTTTTTCTCCTTAAGAATTCGGCTCCAGGAAAATTTACAAGGTACATCAGCGTTTAACAAATTGACAAATCATAATTTTGTGTGCTACCAACACTGATTAAAAAAGAAAACATAGTTTACATCCACAGTCCTCACTTAGATCGGGCAAAATTTAAGGAGCTCTTATACATTCTCTCCTAACGCAGTCACCGGAATTTTTAGTTACCAAAGTCTTATGTTACATACAAAGCACAAGAACTCATGTCGGTCTATGTCCTTCTATATAAATAAAAGAAAACTAACCTTCCATTTGAGCAAAAGCCGCATTAGGTATCACGGAAAACAATGGAATGAGGGGCAACGAGCAAAAGTAAAAAGAGAACATCGCCGATAGGTGAGGAGACTCTTGGAGAACTCCGTGAAATTGAGGAACCTGACAAACACTGTAAAACACTGAGTCTTTTTCGAAAGCGATAGGTGTCCTCAAAAACTATCAATTTATATACAATATTAAATGTTAATTTTCTATGAATTTCTTTTCAATTGTGTGTGTCGCTTCTGGCAGCCAGACTAATTAGAACATCAGTCAAACCTGAGTTGTTATGTCTGATCAGCGCGTCTGTTGTCAGTGCATACTTAGTAAACAATGTTTGGAAGCTGAGAGATGCTTACCATTTACACAAACCACCCAGGTGGAAATCTTGTGCATAGATATAAAACTATTGAAAATTTTCAGCGAGACTATAACGTACATTGTTTACACCCCAAAATTTGGCACAACCGTTGTCTTCGATTTCTCTTGGGACGACTGTGATTAAGAGGTGAAAAATTGGAAACAATGGTTATGAAAAATTGGGGGGGCGGGGAGGGCACACGATGTGCATAATTATGGTCTCGGTGAAAATGGTAAATAAAATTTCACGTAGTTTGAGAATGAACTGCTACAAATTATATCCAAATCGGCTGAACAGACTGCCAAGAGTACAAAAATTACTTCGTCTTAAATCTTCTCTGAAGAATGACACAAACAACCGGAATGTCCAGTTTTCTCAAGTAAATTGTAAATTAGACAGGTGTTCCACCCTAAGCAGACTCTAAGCAAGTCTTTTTGACACTTTAAAGAGCAAGAAGAAATTAAAAGTAGAGCATAAAGGCGTATGTGAAGTAACTTATAAGCTTAGTTGGTGTTATTTTTTAGCTCAATTAATTCATTTCTGTCGTTAAAAAGGAAGAGTTAAAAGAGTTTTTAATTTAAGCTCAGTGTTATGACAATACCCAGCTGAATTTTAGCTCTTGCCTATTAACAATATTTGTTTATTCCCCGAGGCGTTAAAAAGAAAGAGTTAATAGAGAAACCCTAATTAAAGGAAGTTGTTTAAAATAATTTATAAGCTCGAGTTTTCGCTATAAATAAACCTGCTTAGAAATATAACCATCTTAAGGCAAAATGTTTATTTAAAACGTCAGTTGAAGTGAGTTGTGCAGTCAAAGCCGTGCCTTTAATCACGCAATAAAGACAACAATCGTCCGTATGTGGGCCGTCGCTACATATATTTTCCATTTGGGACAAATACAACTGCCAAGGAAGGGAAGGGATGGGAAAATACAACAGTATGGAGCGAGCAAACCGCCCGGGGGGGGGGTACTAAGGATTTCAAGTGACGGGGATGATCAAATGGAGCCAAAAGTCAAGACCCAAAAAAATCCTTAGGGCTTCCAGCAAAACCCAAAAAAATCCCTGGACCAAAAATTAACCCCCAAAAAATCCCATGCCGATTTGATAGCCCTTAAAAGTTCCAGAAAGGGGTAATGCTTAACCACAAAGAAAAACATTGGAAATTTAAACAACAGCAAAACACGTTTCTTTGTACTTTATTCGCAGAACTACGCAGCCAGGGCAGTACCGATTCTTTTTAATACCCCCAAAAATCCCTACTCAAATCATCAAGTTACCCAAAAAAATACTTGCCAAATTTTCGTACCCAAAACAATCCCGGAATCGAAAATTTCAAACCCAAAAAATTCGTTCGATCATCCCCGTCACTTGAAATCCCGAGTACCCCCCCCGGGGCAAACCGAACGATACGACACACGAGGTTACAAAATGAAATGCGATTCCTAACTAGTATGTACTAGGAGTAATCGGAGCTTGGGGACGGACCATCAGAAAAGTTATGGGGGGGCGAGGGGAATTTTCGAGCCGCAGGAATTTTTTTTCGTTATCAAATTCATTGTATGAATTTTTTTCAGGCCCTTGCATGAATATTTCTTAGGGTTAATTGGCGTGCAAGAATTTTTTTTCATTAAATGTTCCCTTGCGCGATTTTTTTTTTTTTTTTTTTTCCCCCCCCCCCATAAGTTTTCTAATGGTCTGTCCCTTAGGAGAGTGCGTTCGATATGTTTGCTAGGCGTACAGGTAGCAGTTGAGGGGAAAGGGGGGATGGTTCTTCCGATAGCTAACTATATGATTATGGCATATTTTGAAAGGGTTGCGTACAGCGAAACCTCGATTTAAACAGTGTATGATAATAAAAAGGTTTTGAAGGCTAGTGATCAGCGAGATATCGTCCCGGGGGGTGGGGGATCCTGCCAAATATGGGCTATATATAGGTATGTGCCGCTGTGAAGGGTATGGTTTGTCTTAAGTGCTTGTTATTTGAGGAGACACTGGCCAGAGTGCTAGCGCTTCGGGCGAGTAAAAAGAACTTTTTGTTTTACTGGCGCAATAGATGTGCTACAGGTCACAGTTGTTCGAAGGCCGATCAGCGCTTAACAGGGGTTTCTTTTTCTTTTGTTAAAAAACATTTCTTTGGATAATTTTCTCAGTTATTTTTAAGAGCGTCCAATCATCAACTTGTTGCCAAAATGAAGCTTTCACATCTGAGTTCGAATTTCGCACTAACCCTCCTCGCCTGGGTTATCTTAACCCAGCATTGAACAACCCGGCCCAGGTACTGTTAAAGAGCAAACAGTCGACAAAGTTTTAGATGTAATCATTGCCTAATTTCATACCGCGCGGGAGCCTGGCACTACCGGATTTTCCCGGACTTTTTAAATTCCGGATTGAAAATGGCTTCCAAAATAGAAGGTATAAAGCAAAGGTCATTGCGTATAGTTGAAACGATATCAAGAGCCAGATTACTCCAGAAAGTTAATATTCTAAAGCTAAGAACAATTGTTTTACTGTTATAAAGAACCTCGCTTAAAAATTTCGAGAAAAGACAGATCTAATCGGAGACTTTCGCTACTTGGAAGTATTGGAAGGATTGCCGAATTGTTCGACAAAAAATTTGAACAAAGAACCGTCTAGTTTAGCTCTTTTTACGGCGCTGGATCCGACCGAATATTGGGGAACTCGGACAAGGGAGTGGGAGTGGGTATACCTGTTTTTACAAACGCTTAAATAAAAACTACCAAACAGCGAAACACGCCGGAGTGACCCGAGTGAAAGGGTAACATTGTATATTAGGTCGGCAAGGCTTACATTAGATTTTCTCCCCGTCGCTGTGTACGGTCTCAGTAGAAATCCTAAAGATCAGACCGGAAACAATTCTCACTGAACATGGATAAAAGCAAGTATACTTCAGTCTTACTTGAGAGGCATTCCTCGTCCGGTGACACCGCAGTTCCTGTGATTTGGGCAATCAGCTCGTAATCACAAACAAGAATGTCACGTACATCTACCTTTTGGCTAGAATGCACTGAGTATAGACTAGTCCCTTATCTCCCTTCATGTGAACAGCACTAGGTTTAACATACATAACGCCACAAAGTTCACTATACTCAGTACCTTTCACGGACATTACTTTTTTCCGCGACGGGAATAATCCAGGTAAGCCCTTGTGTACTGCCCTTTTAAGTTTTGCTCCAGCATGCTTAGGCTACGATCGGTACGTGCACAATCACATCTGTGTTCTTTCCTGCAATGATCCTCAACTTTTCATATGCGGGTAGAATTAAACACAGGATCCTTTGCTGTAGAAAATTTATAATCATGTTTGACATGTTTGGTTCTAGCGACCTGTTCACTTGCTGAGTGTCGGCTCCTTCAGTTTTGCTTCAGGGCATGGCAGAAATAGTGCATCCTTTCCTTCCTAAGTTTAGACAGATTCTCCGAGGGAATATTGATCAATATTTCTGCGAAAAAGATTGCTTTCGTTCGAGTTTTTACTCCGACTATCCGCCATTTGAAACTGGACTTTTTAAAAATTCCGGGAAAATCCGGTAGTGCCAGGGCCCCGCGCGGTATGAAATTAGGCAATTAATTTAATTTAATGTTGGGAATTCCACATGTAGACGATTACTGAAATTTACTATGAAATGCCGGAAACCGTTACTGGCAAGTCTTCTTAACTTGTGATGATATTAAAGAACGACCTAAGACCACATTTTCGTGGTGAATGCAGGGGCACAATGATTGTGTTTGAACACTGGTTCACTTACACTACACCTCTCAATTTCACACGTTTCAAGGGAATCATCAAAGCCTTCAGTGGAATGTGTGTGCGGCTCACCTCAATAACTTTTCCAGTAGTTTGGTCGAGTGTATTGATTTCAGTGGCTTTTTTAATTGAGTAGCGCTACTGTGGGCTGGTCACGTTTTTCCGAATAAATAACATAGAGCTAAACTGTTCGTTTATCCAGTGCGGAAAATATCACAAGTCATGATGAAATGGTGCCGCCGAGCTTCACATCT